ACTGGTCTCCAGGTAGCTGTCCATGGGTGACTCCATACAAGAAGTTTCGCAGCTGTTTGGAGGTGACGTGAATTCCATAGGCCTTCTCCAGTCCGGCTGCGATTGGAGATGGCTTCATATTTTGGTGTACATGAAGGTGATGGACGAGAGCCTGCTCTTATCGAGGAACATCTTGGGTATCTTCCGCCCTGGTACTCGTATCCACGTCTTCTGTCTGGGCTGCGTAAACTTTACTGATATGTGGCTCGGCCAGTCTTTTTTGGGCCCCCTCTCCCCTGCATAGGAATCGCAGGAACGCAAAGAACATCTGTGAGCTTCCATATCGTTTGGAGGCTGGTTCCTTGACTACTTATTTGTGAAATCCGGCCAACAGGCCATAGAGGAAAAACTCGAGAAATTTGAAAGAAACCCGAGTGGTCAAGAACAGCGAATCTGCGCTGCTCAAGACGAGATATGGGTGGCCTCCCATGTTCCGTCGTAACTCCTAACCGAAACTCGCGAGCGTCAATCTTTATGAATGCAGATGAGAAGGAGCTCGAGTTCTGTCATCACGAGTTACGTGGACTTAAGGGATCATCATAGCAATAGGTTCCGGCTCTGTGACTTTTAATACTGGCTTCATCAAGAGAACAAAACCGTCACTGTCTGTGTCTACTGCCTATCTTTCGACAACCTTATCGACAAAAGGATGGTACCACACATTTAAAAGAGGGCCACCATTGCTCATCACAATGCCGGGGGCCAAGTAGTGGTATTAATGGGCAGTGCTCGGACGCAAGCAATATTGAGACCTGGGTTCAATCGTCTTAAATGTCTAAATTCCGTGCGATTCAACGCTACACTGGGCAGTAAACAAGGCCGCTGTTCAATGCTGTCGATGGGCTTTGTGCATTCGTCAAGAATGCATCAAGAGAAGTCTGGTCGCAGTTGTTCAAGAAAAATCGGCCGGATGTCAGTGGTCCAAACGCTCCCGGGGTATGGGAGCAGGTCATATTAGGTTGAGTCGATAAGGCTCGGACAAATGGTAGTGATGATTTCTAGAGATCATAACTCAGCAACAAGTGAACGAAAATGGACGCACTAGGTACCATTGGAAAGAATATAAAAAGCTCTTCAAAACGTTCTCACAAATTTGAACAATCACATCAAACTAGTCTCATTCTGCCAGCCAAATGATAGCCTACGTTCAAGCCGTCCAGAGACCACCTCCGCAACGTCATACTCTTTCTAACGCTATCTGGCCAAGAACCCGCGGATATCGACAGACGCCTAAAGGAAGTCTACAAGGAGCATGCCCCCGCCTTAAAGAAAGTACAGTTCCCCCTTTAACTTGGTGGCATTTCACCCGAATTTTCGTCGCGCACTATTCGAATCGAAGACGAAAAGACCATGAGGCGCCGACTCGCAGCGGAAACAGGTGGAAGCTGATACCGTTATAACCACCTCGAGATATGGCGGCAGCTCTTGGGGTGAAGTCAGACTCGTCGTTCGCAGGGCTTGAAGCAATCGGCAATAGGTACTGAAAGCCGGTTCCTGACTGGTACCCACATGCTCTGACGTGCAGCGGCACAGTGCGAGGTCGCACTTTCGTTGCTCACCTTCAAGCGCCACCACCATTGGCTCGACGAAATAATCACTGGCGATGAGAAGTGGGTCCTCTACTCTAACTCTCACCGCCGTGCACAATGGGTCGACAAAGGCCGACGCAAACGACGTCCCCAAACCCAGTCCACACCCGAAAAAGGTGATGCTCTGTATTTGGTGGGCGTACACGGCGTAGAGTACTGGGAACTGCTCGACGAAGGTGCAACAGTAAACCGCCGACGTCTACATTCGTCAATTACGAGAATTGAAGGCAAATGTCCGAAATTCGCAACGGCGGCGGTCCCATGTCTACTTCCAGCACGACAACGCGAGACCGCACATTGCAAGATCGACCAAGGCCGAGCTGCTGTCGTACAGTTGGACCGTGCTTGCAACACCCAACCGTACTCTCGCAGTACGTGAGCGAGCTCTTCGATTTCCACCTTTTCTCGCGACACCTCCAACGCCACTGGAGCGGCGCAAGACTTCTAAAACTGCGCGACGACGTCAAGAAGGCACTCGAGGACTTCTTCGAGGCCCAGCCCCCGGCCTTTGAGGAGCAAGGGCATCCACGATCTGCCTATCCGGTGGCAGAAGGTCATCGATGAAGATGGAGCATATTTCAAGTGAACCCCAGTTGTCGTTAAAAAGTTGTACGATAAAGAAAAAATTTGTCAATTTGTCCGAATCATATCGACTCAACCTAATAGATGAAAAAGAAATACTCAAAGGCAGTTGGCACGATAAATCCCCCAAGACGAGTAGGATTAATACGCCTGGCAGGACGGAATTCCGCGACCCTGAGCAGGCGCTGCATAGCGCCTTTAAGGTGCCCTTATAAGGGCCCTATCAAGCCACAACATTACGACCCAAACGCCCGCCACGCCCCGCCCACAAATGGACGACCGTTCCTGACGCTCGTATTCATTCATTTGCTAAGCAAATTATGAAGCGAAGGGATTGGTATGAAGCGGCCGCGTGGATATATGAGTACACAAATGCCTTCGGTAGCGGTGTTGGCAAGATGCCTACGGGAAACTCGTCCAAAATCGATATTCAAGTCATTGAGAACGGAGGCTCTTTCTTCGCAGGATTTTGACCGTTTCACTCCGTTCTTTCGCCATTTCCCCACTATATAGCGCCCTACTAGCATTTTAGGCCGAGCACCAAATCATCGTGCCAACTGCCTTTAATTTGAAGCCAAAAAGGTACATGTTTATCTGTCCTCCTCTTTGTTTTGATTGAATAAGCGTCCACGTTTCTGATTGGGATGACCTAACATTAACGACACGAGATTACAGCAAGAGAGATACTCTAGAATACCTGTTCAAAGGCTACGAAATTTTGGCTAGTAATCTGAGCACACACTCTCATCGTTCACTTCACAACCCACTGGTTTTGATTGTGAGGTGCTATGATAGCGAAGCTTGGCCCTGTCAAGGCAGCACTATTGCAAGCCGGTTCATCGTCTTCATACGTGTACAGGGTGAGGGGCAAAAAAGACACTTTGGCCGAGTCACATATCAGTAAAGTTTACGCAGCCCAGACAGAAGACGTGGATACGAGTACCAGGGCGGAAGATACCCAAGATGTTCCTCGATAAGCAGGAGCAGGCTCTCGTCCATCACTTCATGTACACCGGAAATATGAATCATCTCCAATCGCAGCCTGACTGGAGAAGGCCTATGGAATTCACGTCACCTCTAAACAGCTGCGAAACTTCTTATGTATAGAGTCACCCGTGGACAGCTACCTGGGGCTAGTACTCTTGATCTGGAAGACCTCCAACATCGAGCAGCTCCGACAACGTCGCTACGGTCCAGGATATCATCTTCACCGCAGTCGCCAAGGCGCGAGTTTCTGGAATGGGAGACCTGTATTTTCTTCGTGGAACCCGGACTGGAAATGGAAATGAACGCTGACGGTTATCGAAATACCGAAGAGATATCCTGCCTTCATGTCGTCGCCTGTACCATCTTGGAAACTTCGTACTGCTACAGGATTGGGTGCCACCACATGGAATCGAAGGGCGTTGGAAAACTCTCGCCTACTTGGAATCGGAGCAGAATCTCTCGATGGCGTTCGTCCAGAAGGTTGTGGCGGAGCTTTGTGATACCGTACTACAATGTGTTGTAATTTGATGGTGACAATTTCCAGTCAGAATCTGATAAAGTGTCATTTATATCGCCTCAAAAGTAGGGCAAAAAGTGCCTTTTCGGCACTATTTACCCTTTACTGTCCCAACCATCCAGAATCGAACCAGTTTTTGACCGTATTTTTCTCCGTGGACAGATTTGGCTCAAATGTTGTCTCCTGGGGTAGTTTGACCTCCTGAATACGAATATCACATTCGCTGAGCCCGAAACTTCCACCGCGCCACAGGCGCCAGTGATTTGGGGTTTTTTGGCGCCAGCGCCTGTAGCTCGGGCTCCACGAGGTTTTGTGAGCGGATGTAATATTCGTGTTCAGGAGGTCGAACTACCCCTGAGAAGAAGTTTTCAGCGATTTTGGGTATTCTGGCGCTGGTGCCTGTGGCGCAGGTTTCGTGGGCCAGGCGGGTAGATATTGCACGTTTAAGAGGTGCGAACTACCCCAGGGTACAAAGATTTTTTCAGCGCAATTTCGGCCGCGAGCAGAAAAAAATGCGGGTCAAAACTGGCTTGTTTTCGGAAGACTGAGCAGTAAGGGTAAATAGTGGCCCCTTTTTTCTTTACCCCCCCTGTAGTTCGGATTTTTTTCGGTGCATTATTTGGACTCCTGCCAAACAAAAGACTATGCACATTCGCTCTTCTAGCATGATTCCACATGTACTGCGTTAATTTCGAACAATCCTGCTTTTTACTGCCGTGCTGAGGACAATGACAACTTTTGACCTCTACTGTAAGTGTTACGATTGTACCTTCCTCTCCTCCGTTACTTCCGAAGCTCAACACGACAACTCCTTTGTTTGCTCCTGCAAACTGTTCATGGACTGTTATAGGCATTGATGTCAACTCGATTGCTTGAAATAATCGACGCTGGAGCCACCAGTTGGTTCCGCTGCAAGACTGCAAAGAGGAGTGAGGGTCATTACTGTGAACCTCAAAATGGTGTTCTGAAATGGTTTATTTCACGGGAAATTGCACAGAACACACCAAGATGCGTCAAACTTTCTCACATATAACAATCTGGGCTATTGCCTCTGAATGCGTGACCAGTCAAAATAACAACGTCATAAGATCTTCAATAAGGTTCTTGCATATAAGGAATACTTCAGCACATAGAATGGAAATGTGGAAGTGCTTTCCGATCTTTGACAACATAGAAGCACCATTTTTTTTTTTTTCTTTGCTAAAACAATCAAAATACCCTATAAACCGTACCAAGAGCGGAAACATCACAAAAATACCCAATGATGCGGCACATGGGACATCCCTTTATAGTTCCATGTGCTGTGGCTCCTCATGATCTGGATCATTACATGCGGCCGGTGTACGGAATACGAAGCGATATTCACACTTCGCCGGTTCCGTTGCCTCTATTAATTCTGACGTTTCGCCACATTGAATTTCCACCTAAGGCATACAGGAATGCTGAGCGTTCATAAATATATTCAATGTCAACTCAAACCTCAGTGGACCGTTGAGGACCATTCCAACATTGTTGTCCGCCGCTGTAGCTTTGCTTGGAGTATTTATGTGGAGGCTCCCCGGTCCAATCTTTCCAGTTCCTGAATTTATAACACTTAAATGCTGAGCAAATTTATCGGCAAGGGTTAATCATCTGGTACATCCATCGGGAGAAAAAACAGTGAATGCGCCTAAGTCGTTACATTGCTGCAACTCATGATATCTGCCTCGACCTTGTTGCCATACATACAGGGGGGGAGAGTGCCAAAAAAGTTTTTTTTCTTCATCGACTTTCGAGTCGCAGATTACCACTTTATTCAGTTTCATCGAGCATCCCCACCATAGTTAAAAGAGCATATGCAAATACTATCAAGATTTCTGGACGAGCGCCATCGAGAGATTCTGGCACGCGACCGCGATGTGGTGCCTGAGATCAGCGAGATAGTCGATTTCTCCGCCACCGTAGACCACCCTATTGAACTCCGCCCGAACCGGTAATTAAAGGGATTCAGGTCAAGTGACCTACTTGGATATTCCATCTTCTTTAGGTACCCATCCCCTTTTCCTATTCCAGTAGGTGCCGAGAGTTTCTCCAACGCCCTACGATTCCAGTGTGGTGGGCAACCGGCTGTTTCTGTACGCAGCTACGAAGTTTTCCGCAAGAAGGTACGGACGACGACATGTGAGGAGGATATTCTTCACGAGTAGCTCAATGTAATCCGCTAGCGCTCACTTTATGTCCGGGGTCCACGAAGAAAATATTGGTCTTCCATTCCAGGTACGTCCGGTCCATACCATCAACCCGCGCCTTGACGACTGTGGTGAAGATGATGTCCTAGACCGTGGCGACGTTGTCGGAGCTGCTCGATGTTGGAGGTCATTCCAGATCGAGAGTACTGGTCTCCAGGTAGCTATCCATGGGTGACTCCATACTAGAAGTTTCGCAGCTGTTTGGAGGTGACATGAATTCCAAAGGTCTTCTCCAGTCAGGCTGCGACTGGAGATGACTTCATATTTTGGTGTACATGAAGGTGAGAGCCAGCTCGTGCTTGTAGAGGAAACATCTTGGGTATCTTCCGCCCCGCCCTCCGTCTGTACTCGTATCCACGTCCTCTGTCTGGGCAGCGAAAACTTTGCTGATATGTGACTCGGTCGAAGTGACTTTTTTGCCCCCCCCCCCTGTACTTGCCTCTTCACTAGATTTCATGTCTAAACTGTTGATCGCTACTTATTCTTATAAAAATGGTCAAAATGTGGTTGAACTAGAACTTGCAACAGTCCAATGTCTAGCAGTAGGGCGCATTCGCGAAGTATAAACGCAACCAATTGCTCGTATATCGTACATACCCGAGCGAAGTTTCTCCATAACCATTCTTGTCCTTCTGCACTGTTTTATCGAATGGACAGTACTTGTAGGTGTACTGCTTATCACTCAATTCGTAACACTGTCCTTTGAGCGCTGCCCACGCATGATCACTGCCAAAGTCCTGTTCAGTGAAGGACTCCGCTTCACTGAAATCCCATGCTTCAACACAATTAAGTGAGTAGAAACTTCTATGGATTCTCACCGTATTTGACTCTCCAAGGTACTGACTTTAATATCCACCTCGTCGTATTCTTTACGAGCAGCTTCCGCTTCTGAAGTGAGAGAAGCTTTGAAAATACCGCGTTACAGAAGAAAAGAAAAAAGTAAGAGGTTAAAAATAAATAGCAATGTGGGAAACAGTGCACTGTTCAGCATACTTCTTGGTCCAGTATCCTGAGCTTGGCCCCTTTAGGCAACAATTTTGTCGAGGCTATTAATCCCACCTCTTTGAACCGTTCGCAATAACTTTTCAAAACAACGGGTGGTACAATATTATGGGAAGAGGTTCTATTTGTTCCCTTGTTTGTGCTCAAACCGTGTTTCCTA